GTGGCAGCCATCTTGCTGAAACACTGACACTGATGACACCAGCCAGATGGAAACTCAACACCAGAGACAATACGCCAGTATTCAAGAAATATGGAAAATAACAGCTAGGAGAAGATGCTTTCTGTACGGCATGATCCTGCAGAATCTTATACTAATAGTTCCTGCTTTTAATGAGATTACTTACATGACTAAGGACTCCTCATGTGACTAAGTGTTTGCAGAAACAAATGTTTTGAGCTCAATTAAAATATTAAAGGTCACAGTTTCAACAGGTGTAAATTAGAACAGCTCTACTGAAGTTAAGGGACCATCACAAATTAACAAGAGGCGAGGCCTGGATTTGATCATTACTAAAACTGCTTCTGGTACTTAAAATAGTACTAATGCTAGGGATATAGATACTGCTTTACAGTGGGCTTCTAACCTTATCAGTGTTACTTGTCAGAATGATGGTAGCCACTGACAGTAGACTGACAACTGGCAAGCTTATTTAAAGTATTATTAAGTTTATTCTAAAGCATCTAAAGGGTATGATTCTGGAAGCCCAACAAGCTATTCTGACATGAAGGAAGCACAAGAGCAACGGCAAGAAATCAATGTGGCTGCACAAGGAGCTTCTAGGATGCTTCAACTGCAAAAGGAAAGCATACAAACAATGGAAAGATGGGCAGATCACTAAGGAAGCATACCAGAAAATAACAAAAATCTGTCGGGATAATATCAGGAAGGCAAAGGTAAAAAATATGAGCACCATCTGGCTAGGGAAGAAAAAGACAACAAGAGGTTCTATAAATATGTTGTCCAGGAAAGAAAGACCACGGAAACTGATGGTTGACTATTAAATAGCTAGGATGAGCTCTTAAAAGATACAGAGAAGATAGAGGTACTCAATACCTACTTTACTTTAGTCTTCACAAAAAAATAAGCTGCAATGATCTCCACATTTGGGGTCAGGAAGGAATTTTACTCTGTGGTCAGATTGGTATGGACTATGGAAGTTTTTTTCTCTCTCTGTATTGGGGCATGTGCCTGTCTTCCTTGGAGCTCTCAAGTGTATTTTAACAATCCCTGCAACAGCAGTACACTGACTGCCACTGTGTCCTTGCTTAACCTGTGCAGGTGAGGGTGCTATGCATTGTACTTATCTGCTAGGGTTGATTGGATCATTTTAGTAATATGCTAAACAATGATTTTTATGGGATGGTTTGGGGATAGGGACGATTCTGGCTCAGGCGGAGGGTTTGACTGGATGACCTTCAGAGGTCCCTTCCAGTCCCACTTTTTATAATTCTATGATTCATTCCATAAATGCCAACAGGTAACAAGTGCCATGGGAACATTCAGTACACACTGATGAACACAACTCAACAGTTTTTCTTTTACAAGACACATGGAAGAGCTCTCAAGCTGTCCGTGATATTTAAGCCTCAAGAGTCTCTCAGTCAGAACAACTGCAACAACGGCTGCAAAGCTTCTGAACAGGATTTTGTAAGAAAAAATTAAGGTACCTATGATTGTAAAAGGATGTAATGAGAAATAATTGGTTGCCAAGTCACAGGTCAGAAGCATGAGGGCAAGTGTTGTGTGTGTCCATGGAAATACAATTTATCTTCAGTCATGTGCTTTAAGTGTTGAAAAGCCTTGTACAAATACATTTTAAATTCACTATGGCTGCCAGTGGGCTAAAATAATACAGCAGGTAACATTTTTTCCATTACCCTGAAAGCTCCAAAAAATGTTTTACCTTGTGCAAAGGACAAGTCAGTCAAACTGATATTCACGCTTTGCACTTCTCTGTGTTATTTTAGCAGTCTCCTCTAAATTTGAAAGAGGGTAGAAAATAACTTAACTTCAGGGTTCTTGCACCTTGTTCTGAGATATCTGGTGCTGACCACTATTAGCAAGAAGATGTTGACCTACATGGATCATGACCTAACATAGGAGTTCCTGCATTCATAGTGATGATTCAGTACATTAACAACAGAGACAGGCATGATGGAGGGCCACAAGCAGAAGAGAATGAGGGCCCACAACTGAAATGGCAGGAGCTGTTGTACAAGCTGTTGCAGGTTAGAAGGCAGATGCACTGATATAGAGAAGGTAGCATAATGCCTGCTTGAAATGAGGTTAAATATCTGTCAACCAGTTATTTAGTGAACACAGTGTATGCTTACATGGTATAATGCAGCTATCAAAAGTTAGCTCTGAACGAGCTGGCCTGGGCAGCAGAACAGGCAGGTATAGCTGCATTAACACAGTATTCTGCTTGGGCTTATTGGCTCTGGTCATACAGAAATAGCTCAGAAATCTCCATGTGGCACTGTGTTGTGCCATGTTATTGTAAACCCTGCATTTACTCTGTGGGTAAATGCACATTTGGTGCTTTGATGCTAAACTATGCACACATTTCAAAACAAAAAGGAGTAGTTTGAGAATGTAGTCTAGATAGGTAGGGACCATAGGGAGACAGAAAAAAGAAAGTTGAAAGGAAGTTGGCAGCATCTGAGAGTGGTACATGAGAACTATGCATGTAATAGCAGAGAGGTGTTCAGAAAAAGTAGCTGTGGGAACATCCCAGTTTCTTGTCTTGTGGGGAGAGAGTAAAGGATATCAATGTTCAGGGTCTCGATCAAGAAGCCCACCTGGGAGCTTCCTGGAAAGCTGAATATTGTTCTTAGCAAGCAGCTATCTGAAGGCAGTCAAACAAGAAAAAGCACATGGAAGCAATGAAAGTTTCCAGAAAACAGACTTTTGCGGCTACCCCGAGCAGCTGCAGTGCCTCTGAATACGAGATTTCACAGGACCACATCCTGGAGGTACTGATCATAATTCTATAATTAAAGAGTTGCGTTTGACTCTTAAAGCAGCATTCAGATTCTTTGTTTTGGATTGAAAATATGGTGCATCCTTCCCAAACCTACAGCACTTACTATTTGAGTATACTTTGCATTTTCTAAGTTTACAAGTATGGATTTGCAAATTAAAATTAATTAAAACTAGGTCCCTTTAAGAAAGGTACTGACCCTACCATTTCTATGTCCCTAATTATCTTGATGAAATAATGCAGACTCTTCAAAAAAAGTCTCCACTTTTCTCTTCTGGGAATAATCTGTACAAGCTGCTTCATGCCAGTATCTGCACTGCATGCATTGTACTGTTTTTATTCTACCAACATAACTGAAGTAGTAAAACATGCATGTAAAGACAAGCCCTTAGATAAGCACTGTAAAACTGATTTGGGTGGAATCAGCCAGGCTTCTGCAAGGAAAACAAAAAATGGTGCCACCTGCAACAGCAGAGCACAGAATGTACTGCTATTTTATTGTCATTTACTCAGTTCAGGCACCAGATGGTTTTAAATAGAAACAACCACCAGAACCATTACCAATTCTGTGCATCTGTTTGCTTTACAGCGCCATTCTGGCTAGGTTTGCTCCAGGAGTAGCTTTTATGTAAATTCTGCACCCACCTTTTGATTTGGTAGCTTCCTTTCAGAACTTTTAGTTTGAAAGAAATACTCTAAATGCCACAATATACTGTTCAGCTCATCCTCTGCCTCACAACCTCACTAGTGAACATTCACACCAATGCCAGTGTCTAGGACTACTGTGCGCAGTCACTCTGGCTTGCTTTCTCTCTGTTTAACATTTTTTAAATCCACTATAAATTTCTGTTCCTCCGTCCCTCACAACAGTTCATGGGTTCTCCAGAATTCAGCAGTTACACTCTGTTTCATGGTTAGACTGTCTATTGTCTTACCTGACTATGCAGGAAATTAAAGAGGGGAGTAAGGCGGCCTCCCCCTTGCTCAGGACCTCAGGTGCAGTGTACAGCACAGCTACTGATCCTTGAGTATGCCACCCATGTAGAAGTGGGCAGGGGAAAGAATCAGAGAGGCTGGGAACAGGCTGTGCTTGGGCTCTGCCCTCTGTCTCCATTTCATTCACAGGACAAACTATCTGGACAGGTATGAGAGGGATAATAAGATGCATGTTCTCAAGAGCTGCAGTAATTTACAACACAGAGCAAGAGGAGAGAGGGAAGATGTCAAGGGAAGAGTTATAGCTGTCTCAGAAAAGGTTGAGTTTAATTCACTTTATTTTTGAATGAGAGTATCTTCACAGAGGATTAATGCTTTTTAACATATGCACTTTTAATTCAACCCTTCAGTTAATCTGGCTTAATTCTCCTGTGTAGATATGCTCTTACAGTCTCCTTCCCAGGTCTGCCCCTAACATGATGCAGTCATCTATCAACCTTTTTCAGGACCAAGCCTAAACATCATTCTAGATGGTAGTAATTTTTCAGAGTTCACAGACATGTATATATTAGGGACATGCAGAAGGTAAATTATCAATTTTGAAGGGCAACACAAAAAGAGATGAATTCCTTCTTTTTACTTTGTCCTAGCCTATGAAAGCAAAAATATATGCTAAACTAAATGGAAATGCATGTAGGGTGAATAAAGGAGTATGTCATTTTATAGAGCATATATACTGCAAGAAGGAACTTGGACTCAGATATTGTGGTGAGATTTTAAAAGCAACTGGATAACCTAAGAACCACACATAATTCTACCTTTGCAGACTAAGATAATAAGGGTAATTTACATTTCATGATTCAGGGTGTAAACTGATCAACTCATGGGGTTAGAAGAAAATCCTCTCTCCTACTGTAAAAGAGCTAAGTACCTTCAGAGGGAAGAAGGGAGCTAAAGCTTCTTTTGATGCACCAGGTACTGGCCAAGGTAAAACTAGATGGATCAATGGGCTGATGTAGTTATGACTCTTCATATGTTGCTAATTTAAGGATTGGATCCTGCCACCCTCACTCACCTTGAGAAACACCTTACTCCCCAAGCAGCCCATAAGTAAGAAAAAGCAAGTGCAGCACAGTATAAAAAATATAAAATTTGGCTTTAAATAAAGGTTAAACAAGAACAGGACAAAGGTTTCTTTTTCTGTGCTGAAAGGGGGCAACTCAGGATGTGAAATACATACCTTCACTGTTGACAATTATTGAAGCAGCTCCTGTAGCAGCATCCTCAGTCTGACCTACAAATTCTAAAGAAGGGAAAAGTTACAGTGTGCATTATTTCAGTGCAGTACTTTCAGCCAATAGCATGTGATGCAGTTTAATTGAATTAAATCTAAAATAAACCTATAACCTTCAGCAATTTAAAAATGCTAATTACTCTTTCATGTGCAACAATGCCAAGGAAGCTAACAACAACAAAAAGTGTTAATTTACACCCACAAAACAGCAAATGTGAGTCCAACATTCTCTAATTTGGCTTCAACACTGCTTCAGAGAAAACCACGTTGTTTATAGTCTTCTCAAGCATTCTAGGTCTATCTACATGGAAGAATTCTTTTTATTCACTGCAACAATGGATTCAAGGCCAAAGTAAATTAGAGCATCAAAACAATATAGCACATTTTTCTCTTTTAATTCTTCATGGGTTTGCATTTCATAGGAACACCAGCCTGCATTATGAAGAAGGAGGTTCTGGTGATGCTGTATATTTCCCTTTTGGATTAATCCATTCAGTTAAGTAAGTGAAAAGGCCTGGCTGGTAGCTCTGCCTATTATTATGTTGTCCAGCACTTCCCATTATAAAACCCTGTTTACAGCTGCATATATATTTGCTAAATATTGTCTGAATGAGCTGGAATTGTCCATGATAGGTATCTGTTCCAGGGTGAATTTCTCTGGAAAATGTCTGCCCAAATGGTCCATCCGTTTCCAAGAAAAAAGGGTAGAGAAAAATATTCTGTTCTGCCCATACTAAAGAAAAGTCTGGTGACCTTCTCCTTGAGAAGGTCTGTCGTGCCCTTGCTTTGAAGTAGGGACTTGAAATTTTGCAGGGAGTAGCCTTTGCTTCAGGCATCTAACTCTGCACTCCCCAAGAAAAACTACCCAAACCTGGACAAGTTACAACTCTCTGAAAAACTGTACCACCCATACAGAGACATTTCCTAGAGCACTGCAGCTGATCTCCTTAAAAAATCCCTCAGTACTAAGCACATTCTGTCTTAGAGATGCAGTGGGTGGAGCAGGACTTTTCCTGCAGCTCTGGGTTGCTACAACTGAAAGCAGGGGCATTTTTCTCAACTATGTACTCGACCATACTGTTTGAGTGATAACTTTGTTGATACTCAAACAGTATGGAGGATGAAACTTCCCAACTCAAATGGAGTAGGGACCAGAGCTGGACTTGTTGGAGGAGATAGGCAGTACATTAGGTGATGTAATCTAGGGATGAGGCTGGGACTGGTGCTTGGCAGGGATGGGGTAGGACATAGAAACTGGGATTGGCTGGGCAAAGAGACTAGGCCTTTGGGATAGGATGGCACAGGACTGGGACAGGTTAGAGATGGGTCAGGAAAGGCTCAAACCTGGGCAATAGAAGTGTCGGTGCCCATTAGATCACAGTCCGCTCCAGAGCTTGGACTAGAACACTTGGAAGAGTTAAAATTGCCTGTGGAGCCTTAATTTGCACCGCTGGTGCCTATGCCTTATGATAATCTTTAATTCCTAGATCACATGCTATTTTTTCTACGTGACCACTACCTTATTCCATGCATGGAGTGGATCTGCTCTAGGATGAGTTAAGACTGTGTATTAAAAGGAGAATAAAAACCTTTCAAATCCCTGCCTTATTTGTTGCAAAAGTTAGAAGGCATGAAACTGCAAGAGCTGAAAGGTTGGTCCGATGGTTAATACAACTGAATTCAGTCCTGCGGAACTACAGTCTCTCTGCCACTACCAAAGGACTTTTTGGTAGTGCTAGAGAAGTCACTTGTGCCAAAATTTCACAAGTGGTTATAAACTGTTCTTTTTTTTCTGAGCATCTGACCTGAAACCCTGGGTTCTGATCTGATGAAATGCTGATCATTGACAGCTGCAAACGAAGTAGGTGGTAGCTGGGCTTTGAAGTGCTATTAATGCAAAGTATTTTAAAAAACCAAGTTGAGGGTGCGTCAAATTGGTGGATATCCAATATCTACCCATAATTATTGGCTATTTTTAACCTTAATCTCTCTGTGCTTCAGCTCTTCATTTATTTAATAGAGATAATCCTGCCTACTCACCTCACAGGAGAATAGTAAAAATTAATGAATGGTTGCGAAACACTCAGATACTACAGTGATATGCCTCACAGAAAAGTCCAGGAGGGAATAAATACTTCTTTATTCAGAGCAGAATTTGAATAATGTGTAGTTTATAAGACAAGGGGCCATAAATTAAACAATAAGAATAAAATTAAATATTAAATAGCTGTTTATTAAGTGAGCCCTGCACATCTTGTGATTGGTCTGAGAAAAGGGTCCTATGAAAAACAAATGAAATGTGATCATGCAATTGCAGGCTGTTTCATAATGCACAAGCAAAAGGGGGACAAATTCATGTTGCACAGACAGTTTTAACTGGAGCATTTCCTAATCTGAGTTTTTAACTTTGTGAACATATTTGTGTGTGTGTGTGTAAAACTAGGATGTAGATTTTAGTCTGGCTAGGCTCTACAGTGTGTGTGTGTGTGTGTGTGTGTGTGTGTGTGTGTGTGTGTGTGTGTGTGTGTGTGTGTGTGTGTGTGTGTGTGTGTGTGTG